TCTTTTGTTGCTTTTCAGTCAGTGTGCTCTATTGTTTTAGATGCACTATTAAAACTATATTTTTTGCTTATCTTTAATTAATTAATCAATTTATTTATTTATTCACTTTACATTCCAATCTTACCCCTCTCTCCTCTCTTACCGATCCTACCCTCAGTCCCTCTTCTCCCATCCCACCTCCCCTATTTTTCCCAAAAGGAGAGCCCCCACCCACCTGCCCACCTACCCCAGATTATCAAGTCACATTAAGACAGAGCTCTTCCTCTTCCCCTTAGGCCTGGTGAGGCAGCCATGCTGGGGGGTGGGAGTGATCAGAAAGCAGGCAACAAAGTCCATGTCAGGATCAGCCCCCGCTCCCCTTTCTAGGGAACCCACATGAACCCTGAGCTGCCATCTGTTATATCTATGCATGGTCCTTGGTTGGTGTTTCAATCTCCACAAGCCCCTCTGGGCTCTGGTTAGTTGGCTCTCTCCGTCTTCTTGTGGAGCTCCTGTCACTTATCCTTTCCTCCACTCTTCCACAAGACTGCCGGCACTCCACCCAGCTTTTGGCTGTGGATCTCAGCATCTGTTTCTATGCATTGCTGGGTGGAGCCTCTTGGAGGACAGCTAGCTAGGCTTCCATCTGTGAGCGTAGTAGAGTATCATTAACAGTGCCAGGGTTGGCTCTTTTCCATGGGGTGGGTTTCAGGTTGGGCCAGGCATTAGTTGGACATACCCTTAATCTTTGTTCTACCTTTATCCCTGCACATCTTGTAAGCAGGGCAAATTTTGTGTTGAAGTTTCTGTGGGTGAGTTGGTTTTGCCATCCCTCCGCTAGGAGTCTTGTCTCATTAGAGAGTGTTGTCTTTAGCCTCTATGACCCCTTCTACTAGGAGTCTCAGCTAGAGCCACCCCTCCCATCCTCCCAGAAGCCTAACCTGTCATAGATCTCCAGCTTGTCAAAGAGGTGCCCCTGCCCACGGTTTCTCCTCTCTCTGTAGGCCTTCTGTCCTCCCACCTTCACTCTCCCCAGGTCTTGTCTCCACACCCTCTCTGTGCTCCCTGTCCTGCCTGGTTCTCACTCTTCACCCTCTTCTGTTGTCCAGTTTCCCTTCTGAGTGAGATTTAAGTATCCTCCCTTGGGTCCTTCTTATTACATATCTTCTGGGTCCGATAATCCTGTACTTTTTGGCTAACAATCACTTGCAATTGAGTACATACTATGTTTCTTTTTTCTGGATCTGGGTTACCTCACTCAGGATGATCTTTTCTAGTTCCATTCATTTCCCTGAAAATTTTGTGATTTCCTTGTTTTTGATAGCTGAGTGGTATTCCATTGTGTAAATGTACAACAGTTTCTTTATCCATTCTTCTGTTGAGGGACATCTAGGTTGTTTCCTCATTCTGGCTATTACGAATAAAGCTACTATGAACATAGATGAGCAAATGTTGTATGGTAGAGCATCTTTTGGGTATATTCTCTGGAGAGGTATAGCTGGATCTTGAGGAAGCACTATTCCCAATTTTCTGAGAAAGTGCCAGCTTGATTTCCAAAGTGGTTGTACAAGTTTGCACTCCCACCAGCAATGGAGGAGGGTTCCATTTTTCCACATTCTCACCAGCATGTGTTGTCACTTGAGTTTTTGATCTTAGCCATTATTTTGGGTGTAAGATGGAATCTCAGAGTCATTTTGATTTGCACTTCTCTGATGACTAAGGCTGTTGAGCATTTCTTTAAGTGCTTCTTGGCCATTTATAATCCAGAATGTCATTAGTTGAAATGGTAATTTCAAGTGTTATTACAAGGCATGTAGTTTCTTTTCTTGACAATTCTTTAAATTCAAATACAAAAGTATAAGTGGCTGAAACACTTCTAGTCTCCTTTAAATCCTCATTTTGTAAATCCAGTTTTTCTGTAGAGTTAAGTTGTACAGAATTTAGAGTTACCTAGGTGTGATGATTCATGGCTGTAATCTCTGCATCGTGGAGGAAAGAGGATTGTGAGGACAACCTGGGCTGTAAAGAGTGATGCTTTGCCTCAAAACCAGAAACAAGGCCACACACATGATTAACTTAAAATGGGCAGTTTTGTTCCTTTCTCATTCTACAGAATGACTTGCAGTTCTAGTTTTCCACAGATGAGTGGTACCACTTTAGAGACTTTGAAGAGCATGTATATTTTCCGGGTTCTGCATCATTCTTTATGGATGAATCAGTGTGTACAAATGAAAATTCTGTCTCACAAGGTCATCCTGGATGATGTTCAGGACTTTCTGGCGGCAGGTGTTTTGAACAGTCAAGACTTGCAAACAGCAAATGAAGCAGAGTCTTTGCAGCTGGACCCTTTCAGTCTATCAGGAAATGCCAGAAGCAGGACTATCTAAGCTCGCCATCAGAGGGCAGTGTACACATAAAAGAGAACCACTGACTTGGGAAGCTCTTTTGGCAAGCATGGCAGAGTTGCTAGGTGGCTCATGTTTAGAATTAGCAGGACTGATAGGACAGTGGTTCAGGGTTCCGTCTAAAAGTTGAGATCTGAAATGTGTGCTATCATAATGCTGCTGTTTCAGGAGGAATGTCCTCTAAATGTCAAACTCCATTTTGAAGGGCCTACTAACCTACCATGTGGGAAATTGACTCAGTCATCTATATGTGTTCATATAACTTCCAGTTCTTAAAAAGGACAGAAGTATAATGAAAAAAGCATGAGCTTTTGATGTCTGACTCAGGCAGCAGCCTGGCAGTGCTGTGTTCCAGCTGTATGGCTTGTGGCAGATTGCTAAAGCTCTTTCAATCTCTGTTACTCTATCTCCAAAATGTAGATGAAAAGACTGCAGAAAATTAGATAATTACCGTAGACAAGACCCAGTTGATAACAAATACATAGTAGTTCTTTTTTGGATGAACTTGTCTATTTCTTGTAACATTTACAATAGCTGATTATGTTTGAATGGCAGAGGCCTGAGAGTTTCTGTGCTTTCCTGCTGAAATTTTGTTACTAGTTAAATGAGAGGAGGCAGTAGTGTAGTCAGATGAAAGTTTTATGTAAGGAGGAGGTAATAACAAGAGAAACCCCAAGCTTCCCAGGGAAGGCAGTTGATAATTTCTGATTCCTCCTGTTGCTAATAGTACCACTGCTTCTAACCTGGGCAAAGGTGTCCTTTAATCTCCACCACTACCTTTTTCACTTTTGGTGTTTCATATTTGTATTTTTTTTACTTCATATGCATGCAGTATTTCATGTTTATTAAAAATTTACAGAATTGAGGTTCTGTGGTGTGTAAATGATATCATTATTGAGTGCTGTAATGGGTGTGGAACTGTTAGAAAAACCAAAAGTGAAACACCAGGCAAGCTTGAGTGTGTGAAGATCAAAGACTGTTGCATGAAAATACCCTTCCCCTTTTAAAGAAACACACTTGTCTTCAAGATACCGAGTTTAACAACAAAACAGAAACCTACACTACATGGATTACTGATGGAGATGGGCTGGCAATGTGAGTAGAAAAGACTGTGATACAAACTGAGAGTTGACTATCCTTCTCAAGTGTGAACCCTGGCAAAAGGAAGTAAAGATGTATGGATGAGGCTGCTCAGGGAATTTGAAGCTTTGGGGTTTCAGGAGTTTCTTTTTCACATTTGGGAATAGTTCATCTTGAAAGTACAGGACTCACACATTTACCCAACACAGACTTAATTCTCTCTGCTTCCTGAGATAAGGAGAGAATGATGCTTTTCCTTGGACAAAGTTTCTATGTTTCAGTTGCTAATGATCTGTTATCAGCAAGTTTGTGCCATCCTGTCTCCATGGCACTGAGGGAAATACACCTTGCCCTTTGAGAGTTTGTCTTGCCCTTACTGCTTAGAGTCCTTATGAGTCTATTTTGATTGTTCAAAATACTGCTGTGGCATTTTTTGTCCATGCCCATACTCACTTAGGTCACCTTTTTCAATCTGTAAAACCAGTTTGCCAAACTCTGGTTCAATGAAAAACTATTTGTCAAACTATCTCTTTGGTCCGTGAAGGAAGCCTGTTTTCCGCAGTACTTGGCTTTTCACTTCTCCCCCCACATGGTGAATTCATATTAGAAGCTTAGATCAGAGAGGAATCCTATGTGGTGCTCTGCCATTCTATTCTACCTACTTCTCTTTACTGTTGGCTATTCATTAAATTAACCATGGTATGTTTTGAGAGGTCATATGTGGCTATAGGAGCCATAAGGAGATTAGTGGGTAGAAAGACAGAGCTGGGAGGGGCTTGTCACCAGTGTTTGATTCTTGTTCCAGAGCAGAAAGCAAGGTGTCATTCAGTGAAGTGATATGTATATTGAAACAAACTCTCAAAAGTCTATGGGTAATTGAATATGAGTTTAAAGAAATACGTAGGAAGTGGAATTTTATTTCTGCTTAGGTTTGCTGCACAACTTGAAATTGGGAAACTGATGTTTCGTGGTTTCCCTTAGTCCTCCCTCATCAAAGCCAGAATGTGCTGTATTTTCTAACCCAAGTTAACTTTCCAATGCCCAGTGAGTATCCAAGTACCAACCCTAAATTGTCTTGAAGTCTAAAAGTATGGAACTCCCTGTTGACCCTATATCTGCATCTCCTTTAATGGAATCTTTTGTTGCACTAATGGATGTGGGTATAGTTTGAAGTTTGTGTGATTTTATGACATCACACAGACTGCCACAGTTCCTTGGTATATACCTTTTTTCTGGACTAGAAGCTTCTTTGGTATTATGCATAGCCCAGATGATTTCAGTATGTATTAAATCTAGAATGACGAGGTAGTTGTAGTCTGACCATGTTTCCTGGAATTTTCTCTTTGCCTAGTAAGGTGAAGTGACATCATGTGGAATCCCCAAAGTAGTGCAGATGTAGAATGCATATTCAGACAGCAATGCCCAGCAAGTGTGCCTTGAAATGTGACTCTGCTTAGGGTGAATGGCTGCCATGGTTACAGTTAACTCAAGAAACAACTTACATGTCTTTATGTTTTGTATTTTCCATTCTACCAGAACCGGGACCAGTATTCACACCTGCTGCGTGATCGTTTTCTGCCATTCCAAGGTCTTAATTCCTTCCGAGAGAAATATTTTAGTGGTATAACAAAAAGAAATGCCAAGGAAGAAAAATCCGGCCAAGAGTGAGAACTATGATTTTGACACCCAAGAAAAAATAAGAATTTTATAGAAAAGGTCATTGGATGTGAATTTGTGTGTATGATTTATAAAACCTATTCTGTTTTAAATTTTTTATATAAATAACTGCTATTATTCAGAATTGAATAATTTCAAAATAGTCTTTCTTTTAGAGACTATTTTGATGTTATGTGTCTTTTGAACCTGGTTAAATGCCAGGGACTGATACATATAGACAGACTCAGTGTTTATATTTTATACAAAGAAAATACTGTTAACTTTTAATCAGTATCTACCAGATATATGGTAGGTAATTAATAGTGATTTAGAATTGACTAGTTTTGTAAATTTGCTTGGTTTAGTTTTGTTGTAACTGTTTTTCATTGCCACCAATAAACTGTACTGGAAATTTCTAAAAATTGTGTGTTTATGAGCTCATGTCACGGAGAACTTTGAGGAAAATGAATGTTTAATATAAATTTCATACTGGTCATAACAGCGGTGGCCAAGCTGATGCAAGGAAGGCTAAAGCCTGAGAACCACAGAGATTCCATGCCTAAGACTTCCATGGGCCCATGTACATCTGAAGGTATCTGCACCTTGGGTTTACTCGTGTATTTCTAAAATTTGACTGTTGGTCAAGTTAACTACCTACCCTCCGGTTTTTGTTCAGAAAGTAACTGACAGTTAAAGCAGGAACAGCAGCTCAAGCCCCTGATGGTTCTGTATTGGTTTGAAGTCTAATCAGTGCTCTATGTTGAGACAGAAGCTGCACTTTACTTGAAGAGGAAACTTTGCTGAGTCTACATTTTGTCCACCATGGAAATATCTTCTTTAAAAACCACTGTACACATTAATTCTAGATGCTAGTAGCTGTTTTCTGTGGTCAAATGTACTTCAGGGGGTAGCAGTAAATGGATACTTTCTCTCTAACCAGTGCTTATTTTTATTTGTGTTGTTATTACTATTATTTATTTTGCTGTGACTGCTGAGTTTTCTGAACTCAATAGATACACTTTCATGGCTTAGGAGCTGCAAAAGACCAGTGCTCAGAGGTGAGGCATTCTTGGTTCTGGCTGTCTTGTCCTGCGGCACTTGATTTCAGCACGTCTAAACCTTTCCTACTTTGACTGGGTTTCTGGATGTTATTTGTGGTACGCTAGGGGAAATCTAAAAGTATTCATGGGTGATTTATTTGCAGGATTCCTGTTATATACCATCTTATTTTAAAGTTTTTGAGGTTATATAGGGAATGGGTATGAAACTGTGTAGCTGACTCAACTGGAATATGAGACTTTTTAGTTTAATTCCTTTGTGTATTGTCTCAAAATTTAATCCAAATAAGTTCTAAAAATTTACAACATTAATTTTAGTTTGTCCTTAAAAATGAATTCACAGTGAAACAATCAAATTATTTCTGTTATTGTTAATTGAAATCTTCTGAACATCAGTTCTTGCAACTGTGAGGTTTATTTTCGTATTTATTATTAAGTTCAGCTTTCCACTTCCTAAGTGGCACTCAGAGTTTAAGTTATAGTTGCTTTAAAGTTAAAACTTGTAAGTGGTCAAGATACTTGGTGACTTCCAATCAGTTTTTAAGATACAAGCCTTTTTAAAATTTTTATTTTAAGCTAGGCAGCGGTGATGCACACCTTTAATCTCAGCACTCAGGAATCAAAGGCAGGAGGACCTCTGTGAGTTTGAGGCCAGCCTGGTCTACAGAGAGAGTTCCAGGATTGCCAGGGCTACATGGAAAAAGCCTCTCTCTAAAAACAAAAACAAACAAAAATATGTTGATGGTTGTATGTGTGTGAGTGCATGGGAGCGTGTGCGCCCCCCCCCCCACTACTCTCCGAGCCATCTTGCTGGCTTTCAAGCTTTTTTCCTCTGAAAACAAAGCCTCTATTTTCTGTATGAGGTACAGATCATTTTGTTGGGCAGATGAGCCCTTCCTCATGCATTTACCAGTAGGAATAGCTCCTAACATCTTGCCTGTGTTCACGAAGACCTGTAGTTTGAGTCTGTAGTATATTTTGGAAGGGAACTGTAGGTGGTCTGTGGACTACTGACCTACTTAATGTTTATAATATGACAAAGTATATAATTTTATTTCTGGCATATATTAAATAGCCGTAAAATCCAGATGGCTACCTTGGTGGTGTCTCACCAGAAGCACCTCCTTCCTGCCCATTTTTGTTGAGTAATTTTTTTTTCCTGTGATAGCTGCACGGAAATAGTGGAGTAGGTGGTCTTGGGTTTGTTTAGCCAAAGTGGCTAGGGCTAGAAGATTTTTTCTTTTTAAATTTGAACTCTGGTCAAATTTTCTCGACCTCTTCCTGCCCAGCACGAGCCTGTTTTGAGCTAGTTTGCCACCAGTTTCCTTGTGACTCTTTAAATACTTGGACTGAGCAATAAAACAGTTTGAGAGTCTCAGCTCTGGGAGGCACCTTGGGGTTGCCATTTCTTCCCTTTTGAGAAAACTCCCTCAGATATTGGGATCACCTACATATGTAAGGAAAATAGTGATTCTGACTAATAACTATGTTATATTTGAAGCAGAGAAGTAGAATAAGTTAATGTTACTGACTTGTACTGGATGTGATATTTGGAGTGAAAATTTGAGTTTTGGAACATAGAAATATCTTTTAAATCTTTGTTCTCAATGTTCGTTAAAGGTAGGGCGGGGGCAGGCTTTCTTTTAGCACTTGAAAATTGGATGTTACCGTTGCATAACCTAGATGCCAATATAAGCAAAATGTCATTTGAATAAGATGCCTTCGATGTTAGGTTAACTTCTAGCATGTTGTGCTGGAAATATCAAGTACTTTTTATCCAAAGAGATATGAAACAAGTCATAATGTTTTTTTAAAATTAGAGATGACTGTTTGAGAAAGTACCTTTCTATGCCATTTTATTAAATTTCTCTTGAAAAAGCACATAAACCCAACACTAGTTGTTCTTTCGTTACATTATGTATGTGTGTATGATATGTATATATGTGTGTGTATGATGTGTGCACATGTGTGTTATGTGTGGGATAGATGGAGTTCAAAGGACAACGTTGAGTGTTGGTCCTTCCAGTTTGCTATGACAGAGTCTCCTCATCTATGCGTATATATGCCAACGTGGCTTGCCTCAGAGCTTCTCTGGAGTATTCTGTTTCCTTCTCCCATCTCACCTTAGGAGAATTAACTCCAGCTATCTTTGAGTCCTGTGTATTTGAACCCTGGTCCTTAGACTTTCATTGTAAGCACTTTATTCACAAAGGCATCTCTTCAAACTTCTAGCTGTTATTACAGTTAGGAAAAAAAAAAAACCTTTGTAGATAAAGCCAAGCATAATAAAATTAATTGCGGTGTAAGGAATGGAGGTGGGTGTTACCAAGGAAACTGTTGACCTTATTGCTGACCTTTCTGAGCAAAAGAGAATAAATTAAACCAAAATGAAAACCTTGGCACTTTTTTTTTTTTTTTTTTTTTGCAAGAATATGGTTTTGCTCCATTACAAAGATACTTAGAAAACTAAACACTTGCAAGAAGCATCCCCCCTCCCCCCAGGATTGTAATCATAGAACAAGTGAAGTTCACATTCATTTCCAACTCACCCACTCCCATTTTTCTCAGATATTTATCAAGTAATGTGGTTTGTAATCCAAACAAAAAAAGTGCCTTAATCCAGACATACACACGGACTCAATAACACTAGACTGATGGTGTTTGTGCTCTACTAAAACATTGAGATCTTCTCTAAAGCAGAGCAGTTTGCACACATGAAGTCTAGAGTGTAAAGAATTATAAAGGAATGATAAACATATCTGTGATTCTATCTAGGCCTAGAATCAGAGAAACAGCACATTCCTGTCTGTCCTTTGGGGTGAACGAACTTACAGAGAACCTTACTTTTCCCTTAAAAGAGGTCTGCCTCGGGACTTGCATATGTTTCCTTGTGTGGGAAAAGCACATTGACATTTACACGTAATTGAAGCCAACCTGGAATCTGGCTCCGATCCCTTCCTTCATAAGCCACTATAGACAGGCTCTTAGGAGGATGGAGTTGAGTCCTTATGGCAGTCTCTCAAGAAGCCTGAGTCATGGAACAAAATGGAGCTTAATATATGAATGTTAGAACACATCAGCTTCCTTTATGTAACTGCTACCCCAGTTTCTCTGGATTTGGGGGTGTGTTTAGTATATTTTTTGTTGTAGAATTTAAATGTTCTTCCTAAGTTAATCATGTTGTAGTCATGCTGAAATGAATTGTCTGGAAGGGAGCTGTGTTGACATTATAATCTATAACTTCAGAATGTCTCCTTTAGCCAAGCCTCCTCAAATTTGGGTTTATCTGAAGAACATTGGGTTCTTTAACACTTTGGGTATTAGCCATGAAGATTAGCTGGGTCTATGTGTGAAGTTAGGCAAATTAAAAGGAAAAAAGAGAGAAAAGAAAAGTGGAAATGTCAGTCAGTGGTCCTCATGATATTGGAGTTGTGCTTTGATGTCCATTCAAGATGTAAATTATTTGAAATGGATCAAAATGGTTGGAGGTGGACTGATGGAAGGCAAAAACAAAACAACAACAAAACACCTGTGAGCCCTTTAATGTTTGTGTACAACTCATGGAACCAACGTAGCTACACATACCTGTAATACTAGTGTTCTAGAGCCTGAGCCAGAATGATCATGTGTTTGAGGCCAGCTTGGGGTCAGGGTGAAATATGGTTTCAGAAATGAAACACCAGTCACTCCTTCAATCCTGGACCGAATGTTTTGCCACAAATCTGAGTGCATTTAGGGCAACTGCAAGTAGGCGCGCAGTTGGGGAGCAGTGCCGCTTTGCTGTTACTTGAATTTTTCTGTAACACAGTTATGGAGAAGCAGTTCTCCATAGGGCTCTTGCATTTTCTGTGTCAGAAATTTCTAAGTGAGGCACTGGGTAGCTGAGCCATAGTGAGCTGAGGATGTAAAAGAGAGGGTTTTTAAAAAAATTTTTTTCAAGCTCCTCCTACACCCCACAAAAGCCAAGCAGGCACGAAGTCTTAGAAGAGAGTGTCTTCTCCCCAGAGTGAAAGCCTGCTTACTACCCTTGATTTAAAAAAAAAAAAAAAAAGATTATTCTAAGTTTACATATTTTCTTTTGTACTAAAACCCACAGCATGTACAATATCTCTTTGGACCTATTGAGCCCACCACCTTAACCTTTAAACTAATTACCATGCTACTTGCTGGACGTGCATGATAAAAGTATTTGTATGTGACTGAGGAGGCTCATATCTTCTGCCAGTGTCCATGAAATTGGTTGTTAACTTAGTGGGCTACAAAAACCAAACCCGTTAAATAGTTCTTGACAGTTGGATAATGAGGATTGGAAAGGCTACAGGGCCAGCCTGGTCACACAGTCGCCTTTTTTATTGCCTGTTGAGTGTGGTAGTTTGAGTCAGAATGGCCCCCATAGGCTTATAGAATTTAAATATTTGACCACCAGGGAGTGGCACTATTAGGTAGGAGGTGTGGTCTCTTTGGAGGAAGTGTGTCACTGGGGGTGCTGTTTGAGGTTTCTAAAGCTCAAGCCAGACCCAGTATCTTTCTCTTTCTACTGCCTGCCAATCTCGTTGTAGATCTCTTGGCTCCTTCTCCAGCATCAGGTCTTCTTACACACCACCATGCTTCCTGCGGTGACAATAGTTGGCTAAACCTCTGAAACTGGAAGCCAGCCCCAAATAAATGTTTTCCTTTGTAAGAGGTACCATGGTCGTGGCGTCTCTTCAGAGCAATAGAACCCCTAACTAAGACAAGAAATGAGGTAGTAATTACATGTCAAATATCCAAAAGTAGGCTCAGAACCCCAAGACCCAAGTGGTTCCCATTTCTTTGCAGTTCATTTTCTCTGATTAGGGCTGGTGTGACGTGGGTTTGGTAGTTTGCTCAGGTTAGCTCCAGGTCCATTCCACCGAGACAAGGTACAATCTGAATAGGCTGAAAGCCCACCTTTAGATCAGTTCCTCATAAACACAATGAGCACAGAAAGGCAAAGGTTCTGATCTGGCAGGCGGAAGCTAGGTGAATTGTTAGTACTCTGCCCGTCTTCTGTGGGAACTAAAGTAGCAGGATGTGTGTGACTTTCCAAGGTTGTATGGCCACAGCTGGGCTCTGTGTGACTCAGCTTCTTTTGGCTGTCTTTCATGCTACCCAAAGAAATAACCAGAGATCTAAATAAAATTCTTTTGTTTTTCTTCCCATTATGTCCTTGTCATCA